GCACAAAGGGATCACACTACACACCTTCAGCGTGACTTTTATTACTGGATAGAGCATTAATCCGCATGATGTCCGACCCATATCCTATGCCACCCGCGTCCGACTCCACCCTCTCCTTCTCCTTCAATGGCGTTAATATAGCACCCAAACATTGTTAGCGGTTAGATTAAATTGTGTCTCTCCTGGGAGCTGTTTTGTGTGGGTGGGTGGGCGTGCCACACGAGCATGTATCGATAATGAAGCAACGGCCCGGTCCTACCTCTTCCTCCTCCTCAACTGCTTTAATTCTGTAAATGCTTGCAAGATTGGCAAGAGGCATTGAGTGGGGTCACAGATCAGTTGGACACGGTTGAGGGGCTTTAATAAATACGCACGCGGGATACACAGTCGTAGACTAAGTGGAATGAATGCATGCGATGCAGCATAGCGAGGGTGGCATGGTAAGTGGATATCTTCTATACGAATTGAAATGGGGGTATGCTTACCCCTACCAATCATCCAACGGCTGATTGACTAGTTTTGAGAGCAGGGTAAATTAGTCCATTCGTTGGGCAGATTATATGGCATTTATAAACCCGAGGTCTCTCCCTCTATCCCGATGCCAAAATGTTCAGTGACGAGTCCAGGGTAGTATTTTTTAGTTTATGAATAATAAAATATTAATCCATCAGATGAAGCCTCACAGGAAAAAAAATAGTTGCGTCAGATTTGAAAAGACTCAAAATAATTGGTACCTACTTAATCTATCTCCATACACTACTTGAAACGCCTTTACTTCCAGATTCATAAGGCCTCTGACCAAGAATGTTTCGATGGAATACTTCCGCCAAATTCCAATCACAGTTGGATAGTGGAAGATTTTAGGAGAGTTCCGTGTGTTTTGAATACCTTTTGTCCATTTCATAAGCTATAATCCCCTCTTCGTTGACACTGAAAAAGTTGCTGATTCAAACGATTGTGTTAATTTAACACGACTTTTACATTTGTTTATAATCTAGTAGGAGTGAATTCCAGGAAGAGGGATGCGAGCTAGTTCTACCACTTTTTATGCAAATCTTCCATTAACTCCTATGGATAGAAATAGCGGTCAGTACAACAATTCCACGAATTAGGAATGCTGAAAGTTCAGTAAGAAACCTGTCTTTCGCGACTCGGAGCTAATGTCACTAATCATAGGATGTATGGGACAATGCTTGCCTGTCCAAACAACAAGGCATGGTGCCCGCAAGGCATTGTTTATACCACCCAAGAATCAGGTTCGGAGAGGATAGGGAGAATGCGATAAGCAAAAAACCGCTTTCCTGAGAGAACAGAATGTTCCCAGGTGAATGAGTCGGTCGGTGGGCGTTGCTTCAAAGTGCACTGCCACCATCGCCGCCACCGCTGCTTGACCACTTTACCAGTGTGGGGAAGGGGAGGCAGGAGAGCTTGTGGGAGCGGGTCCACGCACGCTAACAGCTGCTGCAATCTGATAAAGCCCACCGCGACGACGGAGTCAGGGCCGTGCAGCAGGTAGGCACCTGTTGTATGTCGGTGGTGGCGGTGGAGGCACAGGTGGAGCGGGAAAAGGCGCCGCTCCGACCGTTCCGTGAATCAGTAGCCTTACCTGCCGCAGAAGATAAAAAAGTAATTAGTAGATGCACGCTATGTGTGGCGGTGGCGGCAGCGGCAGCAACCACTGCAGTAACAGCAGAAAGTTAAAAATTAGACCGCTTTGGCAGTAAGGTATGTGTGTTTGTATGCGAGAGGGACAGAGAGAGTGGGAAAAGGGTGGCAGTTCCAAATGGGTCTGCGGGCCGTGCATACACTCCATCTCAGTGAAACGAGTTACCCCAAAATGTTATCACTTGTCAACTGAGTAATAGCATTTGTCGCTAACCGCCACAACCATGAGTAATATTTAATAAAGAGCATTCTGCATAATATTTGAATGTCATAGCCCTTCAAATTGTTTTTGGAATCGCAAACTGTGTTGTGGTTCAGTTGACGAAGTGATCGAATCTAAATTGTAAGCTTTTTATGGTTCCATCTATAGACAATGTATCAGTGGTAGCTATGGCGTAACGACGGTGCTCTGTAACTTCAAATAGGTGCATAGAGAATAACTGGAATAAATTTCTGGAAGTTATTGCAATTAACGTGCTATAAGGATTAACAAGCACCAGATGATTTCTCAATCACAACGCCTAGGAAGTTGTTCTTAACTTAAAGATCTCATTTTTAATGCTTCGTATGCTTTATATTTACATATACTTAAATTGCGCGATTGAATTGGGTAAGATTTTAATTTCTCCTACTTAAAATCAGAAAAGATTACTTCTCCAATAACGCGGTATCCGTTCCACCCAAATTTAGGGAAACATCTCAAGTGACATTTAAATCGAATGTGAAAGCCCTCTTCTTAGGCCCGCCTAAACATCTTCTTCTGTAGACAAAACTCGGTTAATGCATTTCCATTTTACCAAATTTAAATTCAAAGTAGGATTATTTAAATATTTGATTGTGTTTTGGAGTGACAAAAAGTGGCGTTGCTTAGCCATCCAGGGGAGATAGATCGCTCAAAAAACTCATTCTCACACCTTGACATGTTGGACATGCACAGCTGTTGTATCCATGATACCCGTCCAGCGCATACAGTAGTGAATCACACGCTCAAAGGACCAAACTTTCGCTACCAATTTTTTCTGCTACACCAGACCTAATTTTTGTTCAACACCAGCGACTTTCAGTTTGATCTTGAGAAAATCATAGGTGTTATAGAAAAAAAAACTTGTCAAAAGAAGGTCATATGCCAGTTTTACGGATACTTGGGCAAGTTGTGGGTTCATGGACAGCAAAAGTCGATGTTGGATCCTCGTTTGACCATCTTTTTGACCACGTTTCTTACATTCGCTGGGTAGGCATTGTCAAGGCTGCTTAAGAAAACTGATTTGCGGATATTTGTGCAACCATTCAGTTGGTATTGACATTACAAAATGTTTTTAGTTAACCATGACGCTAAAGTGGACAGACTCCTTTTTTTCCAAAAAACTGAATATCCCTGGACTATGCTAAGCCTAACCTGGAATGCAAGTTGCTGTATTTGATGTCGTTGGGATGGTCAATCATTTCAACATTTTCCATGCAAATTATGTGTCGGACCAAGTTAGCATTCATTTTCTGCTACGCGGGGAATTTTAAACAAAAACGGAATCGAACATTGAGAAAAATCATCAAAATATGTTAGAACGTCCTCTCTGCAGTCCTATTGGTGGTACCTGTGAATGATAAATGTGACCATGAACATACCGAAGTGTAATGTTCCTCGTTCATTAAAATGCAACGGTTCCCGTAACACCGTTAAGCAAAAGCAGAAATCATAAAACGGAGTTTGACTCGTGCATATAATTTTGCATATCCTTTTACAATACCTCTTGGGTAATGCGTAGAGATGTGTCCGGTAGATATGTACATCCAGGTAACCCACCATCAATGCTTGCAAACGCGTTTAATCATGGAAATTTCATATGGGTGGTCCCATTTTTGCCTCGTGGTGTGGCTTGCTCCTTGCTAATCTGAAAACAAAAATAAGGTAGGGTTCTGCCTTAAAAAAGAACATTATTTGCTTTTTGAGTTTGAGAGATACGTTATAATTTTGCTGGATGAGCAAACACTTGTCATATTTGTACATCATTACAGGGAGTAGGTGCCTACATCACTAATTCCTCTTGGCACTTCTACTGAATCTGGAGTTTTGTTTAGGAACTGCATAGGAGAAGCAATGTGCAGGTCTTCCCTTATTGCCATCACTAGTCGTAAGAACACTGGCCTATAAGCAGAGTCATTCAGTAAGGAACAAGTTTAGACAATTTCGTGGGGATAAGAATTGATGTCTTTTCGCCTTGCTTCTCTGTTCTCGCTTCAGTGCTGCCCAGCTATGTACCCATCTAGCTTCTATCCAGCTAGTAGAGCGGTGGGGGGTGTGTCGCTTGTTCACTTGATTGCCACCATACAAGTACCGTAGTCAGCTCGGTAACAACTTTTTCTAATAGTTTACAGCCACAACTAGTGTCACCTAAGTTGAAAATAGCTCTCTTACAGAACACAGGACTGAGGCAGTTGCTGTAGGCAGACGTCATTTCCAACCCTTCTGTTAGGGTTCGTCACGGATTATCCCATTCACAGCTTATGCCCTTCTTCTGTCACGTTAAAATTTAGCATTCAGTAGTAGAAATAATGATAATTATACCTTAGATTGCTGCGACCAAACTGGCACTCCGAGTCATTCCTGAAGATAAATGATAATACTTAAGTAAAAAATGTATTATCGACGTAGGGAGGGGCTAAGGAGCTACTGGCATGGCCCGGAGGCGGAGTCTTAAGTGTCCATGAAACAAAATAAATAAATAAAGTCGTACAGACACCACTAAATAGCTCTGATTAGAATAGGGCAATTTATTTAGCAGAAAAAATGTGTATTTGTACCTACTATATAGAGTGCAGTAAGTTGATTCAACGCAATCTCAGCCCCATGATACCAAAGTGGAGACCTAACCACATGAAATCGGAGAGTTTTCTTAGTTAAATATATCATTACAGCGAATATCGTCTTACTGTAGAGTCCCCTTCTTCCTTCAGGGTCTTTCTTCATTAGAATTTTTCTGTGAGCGTCAGCTTATTGCGAAACAGGGACGCATATGATATGATAAAATCGCATCATAGAGGAGATGCTACCCGCCATGTTAGTAATAGTGAGGTAGTGAAATTAGCTGGGATTCTGGAACTGTCTTCTCTGCAAGGCGGAGTGAATCGGAAACCTATCAAAGAAGCAGTACCCAAGACTTCATTATGATCTACTGCAAGCACATCCCGCCTGTCACCCGCTTTCGGTGGCAACATTTGCTTTGGCGGCAACATAAGGTGTTGTCATTTTAGTTGCTGTTTATAACTGGGTCTGATGCATTTCCTTAAAGAATTTTTCCGTTTTATCTAAATCCCCTTCCTTCTTGTTGTCGGACATAATGCAGAAATCGAGACTGGGAAAGGTTTTAGTGGCCAACATGGTTTGGAGTCCCCACGTTCAGTGATCCAGTACAGATGTCTGCCTTTTTAAATGTCTAGGTTTAATGTTCAGTAAAAGAAATCAGGATTTTTGCTCGCTTGGGTCAAACTTATATGCTGAGTTCTGGAGTCACCAATGTATTTTCCCAAGCCATCCCTGAAGACGTGAGAGGGGAAGTTCATTATTAACGAAGGGGAGGCTTGATAGTCTATGATTATGGACAGGATATCACAGTGTCACGTTGGAGGACAAATCGCGTAGTTAAATTTAACGCCAATAGTTCCCTTCAGTACAAAAAAAAATGTGATGAGCACTTGTGGGAAACCTTCCTCCCTAAAATGTGAGGGTTGATAATTAGGCTTCAAAGGCGTGCTTACATTCCATATCATGACTACCGAAGAGGCTGCTTAACGTGCGTCTTTACCCTCCCGAAGCAAGGGGGTTTGCTAGATGATTAATCTGGTGTCAGAATCATACGTACAGCTATCTGCAAGTGTGATTTACGAAGGCAGAAAAAGTATGAAATAAGTAGTAATGGCGTAAAAGTTGATAGCTTTACCTTTTTTGTCTGCAGAGTTCATGTCTAACTTGTCCAAAGCGAAATTAGAAGTGGCGGGCTATAAGTGCTTCTTTGTTCCTTTTTTTATTTTAGCTGAATGCAACAGATAACGACGAAGGGGACTTTGGAAAGGTAACCTACTCTATCATTAGCGGTAATGAGGAGGGCCATTTTGAACTGGATGAACAAACGGGCTGTCTGTACATAAGCAGGCCCTTCACAGCCACTCCAATATCTGCCCCATCATCAACGTCGACTGTACAGGAGGCGAACTCAACTACCGCTATTAGCACCTCCACAACGAATCTCCTCCTCGAAAACCGTCTCCGAATGCTCTCCTTTAAGACCTTTCGTTTGTACCTTCGAGCCTCAGACCAAGGCAAACCGGCCCGCACCACGACAGCAGTTCTTGATGTGCGCTTATCTGGATTAAGTGTCCCGCTGCACAACTCGAAAATTTCTACAACCCTGTCTAGACCCAACACACCTTCCATTCACACTTCCGCTACTTATCGGGAGCAGAAGGTGGTCCGCAGTAGGTCTAATCAGCAGAATCATCTGTCGAGCGGCAAGCTACAGCAATATCAACAAGATCATGACAATCTCATCTCTACAGAGTCTCTAATCATCATTACAGTTATGGTAGCGGCGGTGGCAGCACTTCTTTTCATTGTTGTGCTTCTGGTCACCGCTTGTCTGCGGAAACGGATGTTAACAGAACAGTCGAGGAGGCAGTGCCCTACTGCGGTGAAACCCAAGCTGAAAAGTGCTGAATTTGAGCTCCAGTTTGCTGGAGAAGACGGAGAAGGTAATGGTGGTGGTGGTCCTGGCTCGACGATTGCGAAAAAGATCTACGGCGTCTCGTCGCAGCCACCACCATTTATCGACCCGACCTCCACCTACGTGACGGTCACAAGAAATACACTGAAGGGGGATGACAGCTGTCATAGAGCGGCTGTAGGAGCTCCCAATGGTATGTTGATTATCTGACTGGATTTTGCCATGACGCATTTCCTCTTCAACGTAAAACCAAGTTTCATACTCATTTCCAGATGGAAGTTCTAACTCAACTAAAAGCAGTTTTGTAAGCATCTAATAGGGTGGGTGTGTATTTCTTTCTATCACTATTTAGTACTTTTTTTTGAACAACAAGTGCCAAGCAATGGATAGGGCAACTGAATTTGTATGACTATGAAGTCATTTTAAATGTCAATAAGGGTTAAAAATAGAAAGTGTTTGATGGTGAGGTAGTTGCATTCAATATAGTTCTTACTGCAAAATGACTAAACAACTGTAAATCAACGTTGAAGACGCATCGTAGTTCCAGCACTTTTTTAGGTGATCCAGTGGGCAATTCGCAGAGGAATTACAATTTTCCCGAAATGTTTTGTGACGCTCTAGCCATTCTTGGAATATGCAGATCAAGATAAGGCTTTATTATAAACGGACCTTCAATCCGCCAAATCTATGCCTGAAACTGCGGAGAGCGAAGGCCAAGTGTGGTCCTTTGGTAGCGTAGTCTAGCACAAAGTAGATCTATTATAGTGTAAGTGATGGTACAGTAAAGTTAAGTCTTCCATGTCATCACAATGGTCCCTATAACCAGGCGTTTTGGCGGCTCGCATCCGAACTGATGCTAAAGTAGAGAGCTCTTGGTATCCCTATGCACCTGCCTTGCGAATCCATTTATCTGACGTCCCACTTCTGACTTCTGTACCCTGACGATTCTATGAACAGATCAATCGCCCATGATGGTTCTAGAGGTGTGGTGCGCAATTGGGTTCATTGTCCGGCTTAGGTATAACAAAACAGACTCACTCTTTGATTTCAGATACTTTAAAGTTGACCATCTTATTATTCTCTCCCCATCTTGATAATCTTACGAGTTCGTTAGCGATTTGGAAACACAAAATCCTCGTGTGTGGCTTGGCCAGAAACAAAAGTTGAATGACTTTTCCCCTGGCTACATCGTTTTCCTACTTCAATTAGTTAATTTAGCTACCCTCACCAGAGCACCGCAAGTAATAGCTTGGGCATTAATTAAATTAGCTCAGATTTTTTGCCCAACCGGACACCACAACTTTACGGCAACACGAACGGAGGACAGTGGAAGCAGGCTACCCCTCCACTCCTCTTAGTGCACAGAATCTGCACTGCCTGAGTGATAGGGAAACCCCTTTCTGGGCTTTTGTGTTGGTAGGAGGACTTGTTGGACCCCCCTTCCGTATTGCGAATCACGGATGACTACCACACCTCCCACACACAGTCTAATGAAATATGCAATCGCATCATGCGAATTCCTGCGGTATAATAACTATGTTTTCCCACCGTCTTCTTGCTTTTGAATTATAAAAGAGGTTACATCCCATATCGGTGCAAAATCTGCAAAACTAAAGCGTCCATATAATGTCTGCGAGGGTTCAAATATTCATCTCGTATTCCATTTAATCCGAAGAAAACTAGCCGCTGACTGAAGACCTCTCGTTTATTCACGCTAGCATGGACTAAATCTATTTTGTCCTTTCTCACTTTTGCGAAATAGACAACGCCTTTCAGAAACTACACCGATGCCATGACTCCAAAGAGGGTCTGTAAAAACCGTTGACTCAATCTAGAGACCCCTTCTTTCCCTTTCCATTGGGAAAGACTGAAAAAACTCTTCTAATGTCTACTTTTTTTGGTCTTTTTTTCACAGGGGCATCAATTAGGGGGTTTTAAGTAAATCGGTAAATTAACTAAACCATTCTAATTTATCCTAACTGTCAATCCACTAAGCAAGTTGGGATAATGTGGCATCTAATTAAACTGATAAATTAACACGACTGGCCATCAATCAACGTCTCAAAAGATCTCTACCCGAGGTTGTGATGAATAAAATTAGGCAAAAGACCAACAGTTGAATTAGGAGTTTAAATTATTTAAAAAGGAAGGTGAATGACATTCAAGTTAAGTGGACATTTTGGAATTTAGTCTTCTAGAAGGAATGCTATCGTTTCGCCACCACATACAACAGCAGGTAGCAAGTGTGTTCAAGCACCACTATTTATAATAGACGTCGGAAATGGCGTGAGCTAGTACAGTCTAACCTCCGGCCATCAGCATGGCAGGTAAAAGCATTAAGAAGTGTAAATGAGTAGAGGATTGAGTGAATGCAAGCACGGCAATGAAAGAAGTTTCCTATCAGCGAAAGCGAATCACCACAGTCTACGGATACTTACTCATCAGTTGACGACTTCAAGCAAGGCACGATGAGAGGGCTGGAACATTCAAAGACTGTCTTACCTAAATCTTCAAGTCGATGAAGATCCGGAAGGCGGTATCTCCATTCCCATCCAAAGGGGTTGACATTCATTCAACACTGTGAGCATTCAAAGCTTGGAAAATCATATGCTGGATTGTTGAAACGTGTTCATGAAGCGTTGTTTTCTGTGGGACCAGTAAACACCTTGAAACCATTCATGAATAACTCTACTACCGAAAAGTCAGTGTGTGCTGGATACCAAACCAGATAGGCTGTTCTAAAACGTTTCGGTCATTATGATACATCCTCGGAAGTCAAAGCTTTACACTTGTTGGTGAAACACTAGGATGAATGAATAAATATAGCTGGGATTTGTGTGAAAATGTGTAAGTGTGGCTTTCATGTCTTGGCGTTTGTAATTCACTGTTATCAACTAAGAGATTATTCACAGGATTAGCCTAGGTTTGTTTAAAATCGAATCAGATTTGTCATTCGTCTACGAAAAGATTATTTCTGAGCTGTTTTACGCTTATGACACCGACCTCATTCACTTTTGGATGTTTTGAAGAGCGAGTCGGTGATTGGAACTTTGACAGCTTTACTTGAAATGAGTCAGTCGCATTGAATGAACGAAATAATTTTTTTCCCACTACTTGAATACTTATTTAATAATAAGGGAAAGCAAATCAGCCCCAAATTTTCTACTCACGTGTATTATCACCATTTTTAATTTTATGACTTGTTTCTACGACTTTTGCGGATAGCGAGCTTATTCAAATGGGGGTAAAATAACCACATTGTGTTTCACCGCGTTATAACTTTTTTTTGTCTTAATTAGCTTTGCCATCAGTTAAAGTAACAAATCTAGTGTATCTTACCGTTTGTTCACGGACCTGGTGCGTGGACCCAAAACAAGTCGTTACATTTGCAGAATGCGTCAACAAAACTGACGACGGGCTCTACCATCGCTGCTCCTCATGTGTGCCGCTATACTGGCGTATGCGTTCCCTTCCAAAAATGTTTGGACACTGGAAAAGTAGGGACACATTTCATTCACCTCATACTCCCAGAGCCGATTGGATTTCGTCAGTAGGACCTCGTTAAGTTGAATTACTTGACATGAATAACGCCGTACCCGGTGAGACACTTTTCTCAGCCTCAAGTGGTAAGGACAGAGGAGAAAATGGATGGAGTTGATTATTAGATGACTTAACGAAAAAGTGGATGGAGTTGCACCTAACTCGCTAAGTCAGAAATCTTATTTCCGGTATCCTTTTTATAATTATTACGTATATCCGGTCTCAGTTAGTCATCTAGCCAGTCGGTCCGTACTCTTTATGTAAACGAATTTCACCTCAACCCTCAGGGTTAGGTGGAGGTATAATTCTCTCCTTCACTCACGCATTCTTAGCTTCTTTTAGCCGGTAAATATTCTGGTACCTCGGAGTAATCCAAAGCAAAGCTAAGGTAAAAAGTAGGATAAAAGGAGTAGCGATTGAGGTTTTTTTCAGAAGTGCATTCAGGGATATCAAAGTGAAATGCTTTACACTTTTTCTCCCCCAAAACGAGCGGGATGTGAACCGTTAATGGGATATTTAGGGCTTACTTCCCACTGCTTTTGCTGATTAGGTTAACTGATAATTAAACTCGTTTATGTGTAATTTCTTCAGATATGTGAAGCCTGAAATTTAGTTTTTACTAACGCTTTACTCATGTAATCGGATCATCATCCGTTTTGCGCAAAAACATTTTTTCTACCATTCCGTTTGCTTTGACCCAAAATTTAGTCTATCGCGAAATACTTCCACCATGCTATCAACCACTTAACCTATGTGCTAGTTAAACGGAGAAACTGCATTTGAGATTCGGTAAATAGCTTTAAGGCAAAAGCATCTCTTTAAAGGCCTCACTCAGACCAAGGAGCAGATTCAAGTAGGCTCTCAATTTTCCACTGATGCATTGCATGTATCCACTCATTAAGCTACACTGCTTAAAGCAAAAGCTTCCAAAAAATCGCCCTTTTTGTTGGTGAAATCGGTACCAAAAACTCAGGTTCCTCCAATTAGAGGAATAATAAGCCCCACAAAAGAACCCATTGCTTTTCGTCCATTTGTGCACAAAACTAATCGCCTTCAATTGTCCCCTAGCAAAGTAGACGTTGTTGGGATGACACGATTTGGAATGCAGCCTCAAGGACGCAGTGATCGGTTTAAAAAAAGGTGTGCATCGAAAAAAATCGCCAAGGTGTTTTTGGGTAAGGTAGGCAATGACTGCACAGCCTGTCTTATATTTTCGGCCTGGTTTGAAGGAAGTGGGGAATATCACGGTGTCAAGATCAACGACAATTCTCTATGCCTATCCAGATTAAAGATAAATTTCAAAAGTATTTTAAGAATTATCTTTAGTAAACACGGTAAATGTAAATCCAGGGCCCCGAGACTACCCTGAAGGCGGAGAAGCCATAATATTAGGGCAGAATATATATTGGCGACATGCAGAGGGGGTAGAGGCTACTGACATGGTTCAAAGGCCATGCCGCCCAGCGGAAATACAATGGCGGAGCCTTAGGCGCCCCGCCACCAAAACCGAGAGTTAAACAAACAATAAAAGTGTTACACAGCCAACGTTTGTTGTTAATTTCACAACAAATTGGAAAGTATTCGTCTGTAGCTCGTGGATTTTAGATTATGAAACCATTAATTCCATTGAGGTATAGTTTAAAACGAAAGCTATTAGTTTGTTCTGCAAGTCAATTAGGGTGTTTTGTAATGTGAAGAATAATATCTGAGGAGTGTTTCTTATACACTTCCATTTTAACCATTAAATATAACTTAGCGCTGCGATAATTGTGCTTATTTGAATAATTTCACTATTTTAGAGAGGAAAATAAATTGGAGGATGAAAACTCCTGTTTCTGGGACATTTTTATCCTAAGTACTTTCTAAAATTGAAGCTAGTTTTCTTTGCAAAGTGTAAAATAAGGCTAATGTAGACGCCCTAAGACTTCCCTGAAGACGAAGGAATCCATGATAAGCGGACAGAATAAGTATTGTTGAAGTACAGGTTAGCTCGGGGTTGCTTGCATAGCCCGAAGGCCAGGCCGTCTGGCGGGGAGTACAGTGGTGGAACCCCTAAGTGGTTCGTGACCGAAACTAGGAGTTAAATAACCAATCGAAGTACTACATTAACTTGTTTACTCGTCTCGGAGATTATTAAGCAAGCCAGCTAAATAAGCTGGCTCAACTTTGCAAGAAGAGCTGAAAGCTACTTGAAGCATTTCAACCTTTGAACCAACTGCGATTTCGACTTGATTTCCAGTAAGTGAGTGATTTACGATGAAAATAAGGTAGACGCGATCCTCCAGAGATGTCTTAGAGGCGTAAGGTGGGTAGTAAATCGTCTGGATATAGCCAAAGACGTGTCCATTCACTTTGATAACGTTTGAATGCAACAGCCTAAAACTATTTCTTACCACTAGTCAATCAATCAGTCAACTAGCAAACAAAGTGCGCATCACGTTAAGGTACGTAAAAAAAGTGAAGACTAAAATAATAGGCAGTAGATTGACAGCCATATGTTAATGCATTTTTGCATGGGAAATTCATTCACTTGGTAGCTTCCACGGCTCCTCTTTCCCAGTTGATGCAGATGTTAAACATTACTTTGTATTAATTTTAATTCTTCGCACGTTCATCCCTAATTACTTTAGTCAACAGGAGCATGTTATTGCTCATTATGAAATCTAGAATCTTCATGAACGTGATTGAGTGGCTCAACACCAAAATCATTTTCAGCCTGTTTCCGGGCAGTGCGTTCGGCTATCCCACACCACAACTTCTCTAAATGCTATCCGAATGTTAAATGAAGCCTCCGTAACCACGGCTCTGGAACCGAGTCAAGCTTATTTTAAAAGGTATATGACCCATGGAAAGGCTGAAAGGCTATTAGCCTAGCCAACTTGATCAATGGCTTAGAACACCAGTGTGAAGGACTAGCCTCGCCAGACTGGAAAGATCGACGTGATCAGATGTACAGTAAAAAAAACGTCATTTAATTGACAGCTCCTCAGTTCCAAACTGAAATTGAAAGGTTGTTTCGCTATTTACAGTAATAAAGATTTAAAGCGTTCTTTACTGGCAATGTGGTTCACCTCGGCCTGAACTGCCCCAGTTATCGCACCCTTCGAAGGGCTGCAAAGTAGAGCGCGAATATTTCTCCATTAAACCCATCCATCTGCAGTGTCCCATAAATCAGAACCCCGGATTGCGAAGTCACCACACTGTTCAGAAAAAACGTCAAGTGGTAAGCACGTACGATGTGCTGCTCGCATGTTTATTTCTCAATTGTGTCCAAATCTATCGAGCTGTCAAATCTTCCTTAAAGGCCTTCCACAACTGACCGCATTTGGAAGCACCAATTAAACAGGCATTTATCATAGCACACGCCAAATACCTGTCATCTCTCAAATAGTTTGGCAGGTTTATGGGGCATCTGCAACTGTTTTTCATACATAATAGTACATTTTGATATTCCAATGAAGTTGCAACTGCGGCCGACGTGGATCTCGTCGATATTTTCCCTCTAATTCTCGCTCATGCACTGTCACTCATTTCATAACTTTGTGGAATTCTAAAGTGTAACAGACTTCAATTAATCATAAAAGTTTACATTCCTGCCTAGTGCCCTTAGTTACTTTGCTGACCTAAGCGTCGTTTCTTGATCCATGAATTGCCACCTCACGCAAGTCAGGCAGAATTATAAGATACTAAGGAGAGCATACAATTCCAAGGTCTAGTGATAGTATTTGCGCCTTTTGGGTACTTCATAATTACAAATTTTGAAAGAATGTTCTGCCTTCTCCTAAGGGACCACAATACATGCAGTTGTGTACCCATGCGCTGCTGTTCCAGCGAGAAAAACTAGATAGGTATAGGGAAGGAGTGAATTTTTTTATCCTCCTACAAACTGCACACAGGGCGGTGGTTTATTAAAACAAATAACCCTCTTGGAATTCGTAAGAGTGAGGAAGAATTCTTACCAACTGACTGGATTGACTTTTAGACATAACCACCACCTACACCGTACAGTCGTTTGACAACCTTGACACCATTCAAGCTGACGTACTGAGTCCCTATCGATTTGAAAAGGTGCTAGGAAGTCAGCCTGCTGGGATTCTCATGCAGGCACCATCTTCCAGTCTTTTAACGATGGATCCACGAATAGCACAGTCTGGAACCACTGAGGAGTCCGTCGATGTCTCGGAGTCTTCGCTAGCACAGAAGGAAAAGATTTTTTCCATTGAGAATACATCAAGAAAGATGAGTACGACCACTTACACACTGGCTGGAAAGACTCCGGTAATCTGCAGTTCGATGGGAACTCTCAGCGGTGCCGTCTCACGTAAGTAAAGTGTTTTAATTAGACTCTGTTAGATGGAGTTGTCGCTTGAATCCTCACGCCAGTCATGTTGGTGTTAATGATTGGCATTTAGATTTGGAATACCCCCCACCCCCTGTCGTGTTGGTGTGCCTGTGTGTGGCCACAATAAACTGGGTTCGAAGGATAGGGATGGCACGGTCTCGTAGCCAGTGTCTGTTTTCCTCCCTTCTTTCCACACCGAGGGGGCACATTCACTTCCACGCTAACGAATTTGGCCCTCATAATAGACGTGCGGCGGTGTCTGCAATGGAAGTTTTTGTCGATCATGTCAATAATGAGGCCTAGACGAAGGTACTTTTCAGTTTAAAAAATAGTGTCACTCATGACGCAGAAGTTTAGGTGCTGACTTATCCCTTAATGCGTTGGGGTTTCTGGGTCTGAAAGGTACCTTGATTATTAGTGTGTAGTCCGGTAGCATAGCCTTTCACCTGCAGCGAAAATGCCGGATTTTAGGGAGTGAACAGTCTGTGAATCGTGCAACTCTTCTACTTTGGCCGTTGCAAGTTTACCGTTTATTTTAATTAAAGCAAAAATTAAACGAAAGTCCCATATTTTATTGGCAGTGGTGCATAATCTAAATCTGGATGAGATCTCCAAAATATGGATTTTTCGTTCATACTGGATGACGGTCTATAGCGAGTATATCACTATTCTCGATCACTATCAGCATAAATAATTAACCTAAAAGCGTATTTCATGTCCACAGATCACGATCAGAGGTCTTTGTGTCCATAGGAAGGTTTTGGATAGAAAGTCGACGTGCTTCCGGTGGCCCTTCTGTGAATGAGTCTTTGCAGATTCGGCCATTCTCCTGTGACATCTTAGCTTGGTATTAAGCCAATGCCGATCAGGATGTTGCTTCTTTTGGATTAGCTTAGTCGTAGCATTTGTGTAAAGAAATGCTTGGAAATTGGTCGCATAGGTGGCATGGGCGCACATTCATGCTACCATCGTTAAAGCCGAAACACGAGAGATTGAACTGGGCCAAGCTCCCTGACAATGATAACTTCTGCACTAATCTCGATTTTAATACCCAAACACGTTAAAACAATCTCCAAAATTTTCAGTTCAAGGCCGATATCTACTTTTGAGTAGTTCAGTAGAATAATTCTTTTAGCTCAAACGCTGCCTCGCAACCATCCAAAAGCAGCATATGTGGCTTTATCTCCAGCCCCCGTCGCCTATGCAGCTGAAGCAGTCCAGACCCCCGAAGGAGTTCTCCTGGGTGGAAAGTGTCTGACCTTCAGCAAACCAATGGCAGCCCCAGGCAGTGGGACCGGACCCTCCGCCTCCCCCTCCTCTGCCTCTCCCTTTCTCATTAAATTGGCCAAACCCGCGGGATTTCTCCTAGACACCGAGGGCTCAAGGACTTACACACCATTGAACTTCAGTGTGCCTGAATACGCACACCACCAGCACCAGCCACCAGCCGAGGACTCAGGCTCGACTAATCAAGAGTCGAGTTTCGTATGAGTAGATGTGTACACAGCCTTCCCTTCCCTAAGTTAACCACTCACTCACATATCCCCATCCCCCTTTTTGGTGCAAATACATTCCCTGTGTTGATGCCTATCTTATAATCAGGAAAAGATGCAAAACTCACCTAACCCTCCGATTAAGCCTTCATATGAGTCTGTTCCTACTCAGCTATACTGTGGAGCGGGACTTTTTTATGTTGGAAGAAAGATAGGTAAGCACCATTGTTAAAACGTTTGCGGTCCTAGGGATTGATCAGACAAATTTCTCTGGTGACTAGCGTTGGGACTGAAAATATTGTTACTTCAGTAGAATTGATTTGGAGATATTGGACTGTTGGATGGAAACGATATCACTGCAGTCGGGATATGTTTGCCGTTGATTATTGTGCAAATTACACACTTCTTGAATGTCCAAAACTTGGCTCATTTACTGCAAACTTCCCTCCTAAAGATTCAACGCACAGAAAACCTACCCATAGGGGAAAGTGCGCTAAAAATCGAGTCTAGAAATCTCCAATCCCGTTGTCGCACTATCGATAACAGGTCACTCAACATCGGCTCAAACAGCCATCTAAGTGTGCCTAAACTAGACATTTCAACCATTCAATAAGACTGACCCATGACAATCATCGACGCACGACGAACAAAAGCATGAGCATGGAAGGTTTGCACTAAAGCTAGGCAACTGTACTCAAAAAGAAAGACAGAACATGTTACATAGACAAGATTTACAAATTCATGATGAATTAGACCATCTACAGCGCCGTTGTAAATTAGTGGCATGAGTCCTTTCGTTGTTTTTGCCTCTGCTCGTGGATTTGCTGAAGATAATCCTGCGCAGACTGCTCCCAAGGGAAGTCACAAGCGGAAAGCTCTTGAAGATTCTCAATAATCTCCGAGGGTGTCATCAGAGAATCAGGTAGATCTGGAGTGTCATAAGGAGACCACATGCCTTGTATTGATGGCATGTGACTGCTTCGTGGTTTGTAAATGGGGAAAATGTTTTCACCCGAACGGGTGATCATGAGCTGGAGCCATGCACAAATCTCCTGTGAGGACATTTTCGCCATTCGCAAATACTGCCAGTTACCATTCACTAAAGAGTATAAAAGGCAGATTCAAAGGGGAAAGTTAACAGCAAATATACGACAGTACAACTGCTGCAGGAGAAGGTCTGCGGCTCATAATAGTGAAAAACCTATAGCTTCAGGAATCAGAATGTGAAGTGGAACCACAAAAAACTGCAGAATGAAATATAACACGGAGGTAAGCACCTACAAACCTACAATATTCAGCTACGAGAAGAGGTGCTCTGTGTCTCCGAGGCTTAATGTAAAAAACGACGGAAGGATTCGCCCGAGCGAAATTGACGATCTCGCTTTCGATAAAATCGCGAACACCTCTACTGTCACCTCGAGATTTGCAGAATTTAAAAGTAACTCTTTTTAACTGGCATACATATCTACCGATGCCTAGTGAAAGAGGAACTTTTAAGGTAGCTCTTGGTAGGACGTTTCCAGACATTCTGTAAAAGTGATTGTTCAGATTATCTGGGCATAAAGCTTGGCTTAAAGAATGTCGGAATTAGACCAATCATTTGTGCAAGGCATACACATAACTTTTCCATGAATTAAAACGAGTTTCTTAAAAAAATGGAAAAGCCGTGTAGTTGTTTTACAAGATATATGTCAAAGGCATGTGCGTTTTGGTCTTACATTGACATACTTAACCTTATCAGGCAGTATCATAAGACAGCTATAGCGCTCTTCCAAACACCATTCCGACACCTTGCTTAGTAAATTGCAATCTGTAGATCAGTACAATTCGAGGGTAAAACAACTGTAGTACGATGGTGTTTATCCCTCGGTATTGGTGAGGCGCCACTTTTGTAGTTGGAATTAGCCTCCTTGTGCCTCTCTGGGTGAGCTGGCCTTTGGGCCATGTCAGTAGCCCAGACACCTTCTCCGTGCTAAATATATATTTTGCCCTAGTATCATGTCTTCATTCGTCTTCAGGGAAGTCTCGAGGCGCTACACAACCGCTTACTTATCAAAGGCAGAAATAGACGCATTCGTAACGTACAAAGTTAGGGTCTAGTCTTCGCAACAGGCACGGACTAGGTGCATTTGGCAGGTATTAGGTAAAAATCTGCGTAAAAACTAAAAAATGAAGTTGATAAAACCATAAAGTAGGGTTTTTGAGCTTGTCCAACCAGTCTCACATAGCGTGCATTACTGTAGTGCCATACATCTAAAATCCGTATTTTAGTTTTCCATTTTCAAAATGACACGTTACTAGTACTAATCACTGCCAAGTGCAGTATTTTTTGTTTTGTACATTGGTTAGAAAATCATAGACCTCCTTTTCTTCCGAGTGAAAGTCTACCACTGTAATAGCTTTGATAAAAATACTAATCAACTAAACATCTCTTGCCTTTCTTTTGAAAAAATACTTCAATTCTTCTGAATATATTACATCTAAGGTATGTTATACTTGGTCCTGGGAAAGGCGAACCTTTGAATGGTCTTTTACGGAAGCGATGGTACGTTTGTACCTGGGTTTACGCCCCAGGATTTTCGAACTAACCAGTTTATAAACTAGGGCTTCTCGCGGGAAGGTATATCTTTAACACTCATATTTACGGGTGAAGTTCGTGTTTTTTCGGCACCTCATGCATTCCATGATGCAAAATGCGTTGTGTCTGATATTCATTTACTTTAAGTTTTTTTCGGGTTCTTCTTTTTGACATCCTTGGTACCTTTTTGATGTGCTGTTTAGTATACTTCTTGTCTTTTTGGTTTTTGGGTGGTGATATATTGTTGATTTTTTTGTCGCTTGGTTATAGCTACACAGACCCCTCACACAAACACTTTGCTCAAATAGGTGGATAATTTAGTGCAAATACCAATTAGTCTTCGTCCTATTTTTCACTTGTCCATCTACAGACGGCCAAGTCCTACCTGAACGCGGTTCGCGCAACCCTGACCGCGGCTCTGTGTATCGAGAACTTTCCTTCGCAGGTGGTGGAGCGCCATAATAAACCTGAGGTAGAGGTGCAGACATCAAAGGAACTGCTACTTAATCCCGTTGTCATCAGTCGCAACGAGCGCGAACGCGTCCTTATCGAGGGCTCTATCAACTCGGTGCGCGTCAGCATCGCTATCAAACAGTCCGACGAAATTGATCGTATCATCTGTCACAAGTTTATGCGCTTTATCACGATGCGTGCCGAGGAATTTGTCATTCTGAGGCGGAAACCTATTCCGGTAAATTTCTTCCCTTAACTATCAATGATTGGTGAACGAGGCTAGTGGAAAGGGTCATTTGGTCTTTCTATTAGTGGTTGTCACTACGACTTTGTCATCTTGGGGCTAAAACACCGATAATTGAGAAACACGGGCAGTTGAATAAAACCTAAGCTTTCCAGTGAATAGGTGCTATTAGATCTCTAAAAGTTGTGATTCCTACATCCATGGAATGTCATTATTTTTCCGCTACATTTGCCTCTCCGCCAAAAGCAGAAATGTATTTAGTCGAATCGCATCATCAGATTTGCTTGTAGGCAATTGTTGTCAGTTCTTTCCGAGGCTAACATGTGTTTTATTAAGCTTGCTTGGATGTTATTTTCATTGGAACTCCATAAGAATCGAAGCCGTCTCGTTGCTGCTTTTCAGCTAAATGAACTGAATCTCCAGTTTAAGCTGTTCTTCTTAACACTTCGCTCACCATGTAGTTACATTTTTCTCTGAACGGCTGGCATTAGAACTCTTGGAAATCAGATTTCTCTTATCACCTAATCCACCCTTTTCCCTGTTATTTCTCGCTCTACGCGATTGGGGGTGTGGCTAGTTGGCTCATTTCATTGTTATTATTTTTAGGAAATCAATAACTTTTGATCGCACTTTTATGAGTGTTTCATGAAAATACTGACATCCAAGTTACCATGGTCTTTTCCGAGTTCACATCGGCTGTTGAAACCCAGTCAGCCAGCACCTTAATTTTTGTGCTAGATGAGAACCTTTCTTGCGCCGCTTTGTCTAGGTAGCAGTGACCTCCACGACTGAATAACTTTATCCTACGAAAAAAATCCTCGTGGAAAATTTCACTCATCACTGTTGACCAGGAAACAAGGCCGGGAGGTTCGCATTATTAGTCTTGCTTGTAGGAGATCATCGCCATTTTAGAGGTCAATGTGGCAATATGAATGGGACTTCGTCGTTTGACAGGGGAAAATCTGATTGTAGAGGTTTCTTAAGCGGTTTAGTTAGCATTGTCGTCCCCACTTTTCCACCTTAGTGCTAATGATTAGAAAACATCCAGTGAAAGCATATTGTTTAGAATAATTATCATCAAGTCAGCTTGGCTTTGTTTGTACTGAATGAGGTTTTAGTGCTTTACTATCTGAGTCACTCACTTCTCACTTCAGTGTTAACTGTATTTCTGGTAATTTTTAAGCGAGATGGCTCTTTATATTTTTGTCATTGTTGTTATAATTTGTAAAACCTGGGAAATTTACATCGGTGAGCCTCGTCTCGCTCATCCATTTCACCCTTTAAACGCCGACTAGGAAACACGACCGCAGTTTCAGTTGTTTGGGTTAGGCGAAGTAGTTTTAGTGTCTCTTGTGGATACTGGTGAGCAAGTACATCACGATGTTTTGTCAAATACCCAATCCCTCCTCTTCATGGACGCGTTTAGAACTTAAGTGGTAAAAATGATAAATAAGACTAGGGTTCTGAGGAAAGGAACAGTTCTTTTATGAATGCCTTTGATAAGCACTTTCGTTCGCCGTTAATCCCATGTTTTTATCTAGCACTGTAAATGGCTTAAGTTCTCCTTCAGTTCCACGCAGCTGAAAAAAAAATTAGGGAATGTTATTCCAGGTTTCCTTAAGTTTCGGTGACACAGAAAGTACGATTCCCTAGAGCACCCAGTAGCCACTGCGAAGATGCTACTTATGGATTTGGTTATTTGTTAATGTTTTCACCTGTCAGAACGTTCATAATTTGCGTCCTAGATGGGCTGAATGCACTGATTGCATGTTGAAGTTAAGTTATTTCTGATAAACGCCTAACTCCCTCCATAATTCAACAATGGTCCTGACCCTCTTGTCTTTCCTTTCCACTCCATTATTCAAGGGCTACGACATAACATTCCTAATAACCAACTTCCACACGGAGAAGATGCTGAAGAATAAGCTAGTTGATTTCATTATCACCTTCATGGAGGAGATTGACAAGGAGCTCTCGGAGATGCGACTTGCAGTGAACTCGCGAGGTCGTCTATGTGCCGAGGAGTTCCTGAAAGCCTTTGACTAACTCTGCTGCCTCGTGATTTTTCTTATTCTTCCTCTTTTTTCATGAACAGCCAACTCACCAATCTGATTATGCAACTCACTCATTTTCCATCCACCTAACCTTTTGGAGACTACGACCGACTGCCAATTTTTCACCAGCAAATGTAAAGTGTTCAATAATGGACCCGTCTGATTTCTACGCTTCTGTAAGGTTGCAGGGATGCTGACATCTGGTGCCTTGGGAATATGTAAACCATTAAATTACTTCTAGGAACAGCGGGACTTCATCGATACCTAGAAATGGCGAAAGGGTAAGTAGGCTTTGGGTTCCAGTACTTGTGTTGTGCAGACCATGATTGTCATATCGTATTCACCCCGAAAAATCAAAGCAGGGTAAGCGCCAATGGTTATTATCAGGTTGGAGGTTTGCATCCCTGTAGGCTGGTATATCCTTTAGCCAAGTTGGGCGACGTAGTCAGTTCACACTTCCAAGGCTGCATTTCTGCTTTGTGCTATGATACTTGAGTCGCCCAAACAGCTCCCAATCTATTCAGTACATCAGAAGTATACGTTCTTTAATAGCACCAGACTATTGCGGCTTCAAGAGGGGCTTGGAAGCTACAACCGTATTTGTAGAAACTTTGATGGAGATTGTGTGTGCCAGAAGCCCCAAAAAGATACTTGATAATTTAGTTGTCGATTGTTTAATTTTCGCTTTTTGGTAAAGGGCCACCTTGGGTCTTGCCATTTAGCCTTCAACAAGGGGGCTTGCCTTCAAGTCATCTTCAGTACTATGCTTTATTTCGTCCTCAGGAAAGTCTCGGGGAGATAACTCTACCGAAATACTTCATGCACTGATAGCACATGAAACCATTTAAATAAAGTGACTTTCATTTTTGTAGAGGTATGCAGAATACTCATTTAGTCACAGTAAGTTATGTGTTTACAAAAGGACTGTTTTCATGACACAGTAGTCTGTATATCAATTCCCATTTATACGTATATAAACGGTAAAACCGTGTATGAAGTTTGTGCACTAAAAAGTTACTGTTGTTAAAAAGTGATAAATTGTTGAGTATTCCTCAAATTTAGATATTAGTTGTCAGGCCTTAACTAGTTGAATATGTTTGAGTGAATCATCTCAGTACAAGTACGGTGTACAGCGGCTTTTAAAATTTGACCCGCGCGCGATATTACATGAGCAGTGTTAGGTTTTGGGTTGAGAAGGCGTTTGAGCTTTTAATTGTCCATCATTCCAATGGTTTATGTATCCATTTAGCGAATATGAACTAACGAATCATGACTTTTAATTTGCGTTGATTTTCTTTATAATGCAACAATCCCGAAAAGATAAAAACTTTCCCATTTGGTTACCGATTATCCGTGCAAGTGCATTGGGATGGTTACCCCTTTCGAAAAATCCGCTGCCAAGATTTTCATTTGAAGATTCAAACGATCTACTAACATCAACGATATACTGCAACTCAAAGTTGCGTATAAATGTTTCAGGTGTAAAATTTGAAATCCCCCGCTATTTTGTAGACCAGTATCCCAACACTCTTCTGGGTTCTTCAGAACGAGAGTATTTTTTCGATGAAGAAAACGAAGAATACTACTTTGATCGTGACCCTGCAATTTTCCGATACATCGTAGACTTTTATCGACATGGTTTCCTGCACTTTCCCAAGTCCGATTGCTTTCTCGCTTACGAAAACGAGATGGCATTTTTTCGGATATCCACAGAATGCATGGGTGATTGTTGTTACGAACACTTCCAGGACTGTCGTCGGGAGCATTCAGAACGTCTACGGGAGGGGAGGTCTACAGACGACCTGAGGTGTGTTGGCCCAACAACATTTCGACAAAGGTTGTGGACTTCCTTTGAAAACCCAGGCAACTCAACCGCCTCTCTTGTAATATACTACGTAACCGGATTTTTTATTATTGTGTCTGTTCTTGCAAACATAATTGAAACCATCCCATATCCTGAAGTCTCCCCCGATCTTTCCAGAAAATCCATCGGAGATGTCTTTTCTAACGCGTTTTTTTGCCTGGACTCAGCATGTGTCCTCATCTTTACTGTTGAGTACTTGGCTCGGCTGTATTCGGCGCCTAATCGGTGGCTCTTTTTCCGATCAGTAATGAGTCTCATTGACGTGGTTGCAATTCTTCCTTTTTACATCGCTCTTTTGCTTCCAAACAAAAAGGTACGTCCAAGATTAGTTAATTTATTCCCGAACTTTGCTTTATAGAAGTGCTGACATGGTTATAACTACTTCTATTTTTTATCAAATGCCAGTATTACTTGTTATACGTTTTTTTTAAAATTAAGATAACTCTGTTTTTGTTGTTTTATGGATGAACTTCATTTGCAATGTTTGTGTCATCATCGGTACCTTTGCACCTTAATAAATGCTTTTACCGGTTTTTCTTTGTCATGTTAGTGCTATTCGATAATTGGCAAATGTATATTAAAGGTAATCACCATCGCTCTCTTAAACACTTAGGTGGTTTTTAATTTTTCAAATTGGGGCAATTTTTCCGTTATACCATCTAGAATAATTGCATTTCAAATAGATTCGCCGGCTTAACTAACTGTCGTACTTAATTTCTAAGTGCTTAGTGTTCTTAAAGTACACTGACCTTTACTATCATTTAAAGCCCTCATAAGCATATTGAGATGACGAATAAGTTAAAATTATCTAGTTAACAATGTTCAAGAACTGAAGGTCAGCTATTTTTTAAACGAAATTTGTCCAACTGAAATCGGCTACTTGCACCAACTTAAGGAATTTCAAAGATCAAAAATGGTATTACACTTAAAAGTGCTCTTCCAGCTAAGTTCAACTTCACGTAAAAATTGCTGGAGCCACAACCCGATGATAGCGGTATAAAAATAGAACATATGGGAAGTGCGTGCAGATCCATTATTTCACTGAGGCAAAGTAAAGCAGGGAATGGACAATTTCCCTCTCTCATGTGATATTCGGTCTCATGGGAAATTGCGGCTAACATGGTGGTGATGTCGTGAGGTCCCTCTTCTTTTCTTTCATTACCCCGGGGTCACGAGACAGTAGGCATATTTAGGGCTGTCCACCACCCAATATCACATTCACGTGGCACCCTTGCTTTTCCCCAAATCAGACAAAAAGCAGTCTTAAACAATAGAGATCCACAGTTTTTATACTTTTCAGTCAACACATCTTACCCGGGATTCCCATTTTAAACAAAAATACTTTTTATTTTGTTCCTTTAGGAAAGAACATGAAAGAATCAACAATGCTAGAAATAGGTCCTTGCAATTTACTCATGACAAAGTGAATTACTTGCCTGTTCAGTTACTGGAGACTAATTGTAGGGGGCTTTAGTGATTAATTTTGCGATGAAACCTCTCAGAAATAAAATTCACAAATATCTTTCCGTCTCGGTTTCTAACATTTCTGCTACATAACCCGAAAGAGAAGTCACATATTTGAATTGAAGCCAACAGTTGAACGTGCTTGAGCAATAATTTTAAGGAGTGCACTAAAGTGACGGTTTAAATACTCGCAGCTTTTTGGGCAACTACTGCCCACACAGGTTGAACCAACTGTCCGAACACAAAGCCATAATCTCATCTGGTATACCTTGTTGCGACAGCACAGACTTTAAAGTGTTTTTTTTTTGGCTTCAACACCTGTTCTTACCGTTTTGTCCGCTCATTCGTTCAGCAATAACGATCCATAGCTAATGGAGCAGTTGATGGATTTTTGAACACTTCTTGTAGGGCATAATTTCTGCTAAAGACGAATGCATTAGTGTAACAATGCAGACTACTTTAGCGAGGCGTGGGGCATGTAATTAATCGCTGGGCGGAGTTAAAAATATTTGCACTGGTTTTCATTAATAAGTCTCTAAACTTTCCACATCTACAAACTAGCAACATTCTAAAACAGGAGTAATATTGTGTTTAAAATAACGTAGTGTTCGGTGAGAGTTCGCTAACGATGCGATGTATTTTTAATGCCTACTATAAGTTCATTGAGACCCCGTAATTAGGATTCTGAAGTTACCTGTTCATAATAACATCATGACTTTGTGCTGTCATTATTACTGAAGGAAAAAATGTCATGATGAATGAATGAATGAGTTTTGAGGAGGTGTGATTGTCGGTAAAGGGATTTTTCGCCAATTTTATTACACTAATAGTGCTTCGAATGCTGTTGAAATTGTCCAAATTATTTCAAAAGCACTCATCCTTTGCGTTATGGTACATTGGAAGGAGCATTTGTCGCAGTTTTTTAGTACGAAATTGTGCAGATTTGTATGAAAAAAAAGGCACTTGATATTGTTTTGCGAGGTTTGCTCAGATGACAGCTCAAGAAACATTCTCAACCCTTCTCTCTGTCTCTCTTCTGCCAAGAATTGTATCTTGACATTGTCATTTCAACAAACTTGTAGATCTTTGGAAGGAAAGACGCTTTTCTTTCCGCTGATGCTTATACAGACATTTAAAGACGTAGAAGGCTGATTACTTGAAGGAAGAATTACATAAATCTAATTCTTAACCTTAGAAAGGCAAACTGAATGCAGAGTGAACTTCTTCCAGTATACTTGGATTAGGGCAGGTGAAGTATGGGAATGTTTTAGTACGACGACAGCCATACCTCGCATCTACAGCGCAAGGTGGTAAATGGTCTCAGTTAATAAGAGAACTTTCAAGTTACAAGTTTCGTGTCCTTAAGATAGGTTGAACATGGGGATAGAGGCGGGGTGTACGCAAGAGGACATAGTTTTGAGGTCGTTTAAAGCCTAGAGCTACATTCGGAAGACCTTATCTATATCTCCAAACCTCATTCCTGTGGTGCTGTTGCTGCTGGCGGCAGCTGCCTCTCCATACTTTTTCCTTCCCTCAGCACCTGCTTGAATTCATGCCGCAAAAGCTTCAAACTACCCTCAAAAAGATGGCGAATATGTTAAGCAATTTCCCAGGTGATTTCCCGCCCTTTACTGGTGAATTTCTAAAATTAAAGTAGCCACTCTTGCTGACTTATACTGACGTGATTTGATCCAAAAGGAAGCTAATTGTCCCCCTAATATTATACCGCTGGAAATTTTCTTTCTTGCTCCTTACCAAGTAAACCAATATCAAATGGGTTTGTCAAAAAACCACAGGATTAACAAGGCCAATGAAAGAGTCGACTTCGTCTACCACTTTCCAGGTTTGTGTATGTTTAACGTCACTGCACGAGATGTTTCCCTCACGCTTGACCCCTACGCAATCTCAGCTGCCCCGGTGATTGCCAGATCCGTCGGTATACGGAGATGCAAATATGGTACTTGGTCTTATTTTAACTAACGTTAAAGATGTACAATATTCTCCCAAAATGAAGTCAACTTCACCCTTTGCGTGTTTAAAATAATCTCTTTAATTAGTAAGTAAATCAAAGCATAATTAAGTTGATAAGCCTTGATAAATGGTCGTGTTTGCAATTACGGGACGGAAGAGTTTGGTGGTGGGGTTGCACAGATTTTGATTTCACCATGGGGTCACAGTTTAGGTCACAGCCGGTAGGCTAAGCATTTGGACACAGGACCTTGTCTCCGTCCCATCCTCCCATGGAGCGGATTAAATAGGCATACACACAGCGGGATAACCGCCAATTGCCCTACCAATCAAATTTTTCTCCCTCCTCCTGAAATGCGCAAATACGCAATAGGACTACTTTTTGTGGACAATGAAGTCTGCTATTCAACCAACGTAGTTTAGGTGCATGTAGACAGGAGCATTGCTGGGGAACTTCTTCCAAGGTATGTACATGCATAAGGTGTTCATCTCCCTTATGCATGAATAACTCGTCAGCCAGTGCCGTGAGCCAAAACCTTTGAGCTGTTTCACCGCTCATTTGGAACTACAAACGTAATTTCTTTTTGTTGGAAAAATATGAGGTCATCAGTCTTCAATTCCTTGAGCAACTTTCCGGAGAGCCGTGCCTTTTAAAGTGGAAAGAGGTGGAAAAACAACGGCTCTCTTTTGGAGCTAGATTTGTTATTACTTTTCAAAGTGAAAAGTTCAGCCTTTTTTTTTCCTCGGAGACTGTCATGATGACGGAATTCCATTGAATGCATTGAAAATAGGTAGAATACGTTTTACAGAATTCTGGAAGTTCACCAAGACCTTTCCTCATAGCAAAGGTCACTGAAATTTTTATTAAAACGCCTCCAATAAGTTTACTTATGCCCTTCTCTAAACACTTTACCCTTTTTCAAAGTTAATTCCTTTTGAGTTCTTGAAAAAAAAAACAAAATATCACCAACTATAAACCCCAGTGAGATTGTTTTCAAACAGGATTTTGTTGGATTACAAAAGGTAGGCAGAGGCATAAACCTTTTAATTGACCAGTAACTACGGTAATGAAACGTGGTGATCTTAATGAAGGTATGGAGCTTTTAAATAGCCAACACTTTTGCAATAAAACCCAAAATATCACTTATGATTCATCGAATTTGTTTACAAGCCGTCAATTGGTTGAACCTTTTTATCAAAAGGAACCAAGTGGGTGTTTCTGATGATCCAACTAATTACCTTTGAATACCAACGATTTGAACATTAAACAAATGATTGAATGGATAGTCTTTGAGTTACTCATTAATATCAATCAAATAAACTCAGACCTATTAATTAGAATTCAAGAAACGATGAACCTTACGTAAGTTCGTAGTTCTTTTTACTACCCTAGACCCTGTCCGGGCCCTTCACAACATTGCGAGTTTTCCGAGTGTTCCGGGTTTTCAAGTTCTCCCGACATTCTCAAGGTCTCCGTATCCTCGGCTACACGCTCAAATCCTGCGCTTCAGAGCTCGGCTTCCTCCTCTTCTCCCTCACCATGGCGCTAATCATATTCGCGACCGTGATCTACTACGCCGAGAGGGCGGTGCCTAACACCACTTTCATCAGCATTCCTGCTGCCTTTTGGTACACCATTGTGACGATGACCACTCTGGGGTATGTGCTTCTAGTCTTAATCTGCCGCTTTCTCGCATAAACAAGCACATACGATCGGGCTCTACTGTTTAAGGGGGCGAAAAGGATTATCCTCTGTGGGAGAGTTCAACTGGAGTCTTTTTTTGACTGCGAAGAGAGGGTTGAAAAGAGCGAGGAATAAACGGGTAAGGAAGGCGAGGAGAGAACAGGCCCACGGTTGAGCATTTTTCAACTGGGTGACTCATGCCTAATTGGGAATCAGCTGTTTAGATAGCGGGTCGATATTGATTTTCTCTAAGGGAAATTCGAGCTCGCGGGGATTTAGAGGTAGCCAACCTTTAAATTTCACGCGCTATTTTAAAAAGACAGGATTTTTAACACGAAGTTTAAACTTTGTAGTGTAATTTTTAAAGAACCAAGTTCTTTTAGCTTGTTTTTTCCCCATTTTTAATCCATGATTCATGCCAAATTTTCCCTGTTTTTCATCAATTCCATTCACTTAGGGGAATTCGAAGATCTTGTCTGCTTAAACGGTCTCTTGGTTTATGGTGGTGCTGACGTTTGTTTAGCATAAATGATGCTGATTGACTTTGAGGATTGAAAGTAGTGTCCAATGGTGTGAAGTAATTGCGTTTTTAGATTTGAAATTATCAGTTATTCGTCAAATCTGTTGTTCATATAGGTTAAATATTCCCACGTTTGAGTAATTATCTGCCAAATTCCATTGTTCCCTACTATTTTTTGAAGTGGCTGATAAATGCACAAGTAGTTTCCATCAAAACTTGAAAGTCCACTTTAATGGAAGCCATTGATAATAAACTAATTTCTTCCTGAAAATAGACATTTGTAGAGACGTCATATTGATTGGATTTTTGCCGCTACTTTGTGATTTATAATAGTAGCATGTCTTATAACCTGTCAGTTGTGGGTATTGGATGAACTGTATAGTATTTAATTAAGTTGCAAATCACTTAGCTAAAGGACGAAATGCACCGAGAACCTGTTAATTGCGAGGGATGTTAAGTTACCTATGTAAAAGTTGATGTCGCTCCATCCTTCGCTACGCTTTGCCCTCTCCTTCGAAAGCATCATTACATCATTGCCAAATTAGTAAACAAATGATGACTTTGGCAGCACTCTTTGTAGTGTTGACCGTGAACAAAAAGGGCAGTTTATCTTTCAAAGGGATGAACCAATTTACATTCAAACCATGCGAAGAGGTTCGAAGTTGTCTTGCACACTCGTGGAAAAATACTAAGAGTTTTAAACCTCCGGCAATGTTTTAAGTTTTACTTCAACATATTCTTAAGCAGATTTTGAAAATGTAATTGGCTACATTTGGGATGCTAAAATGCTATTGTTTTTACTTTCAATGCTCACAAATCAGAACATATTCATTTCGTTGTAAAAACTCCTCTAGATATCTATCTTGGTAAAATCTTCATTTACAAGGCCGAAATATTACTTCAAGTTAAAGTGTTGGCAAATCGTTAAAAAGATTTCCCATGTTTCCAGTAAAATCGGAAGGAGATTACTTCTGCTTTAGGCCGCATTCGGTCACCTTTCTTGTTGAGTTTTACTACCTATCAATCTTCCCACGAAAGTTTTTTATTTGTTTTAAAATAAGGTTTCCGAAAACGACGGATAATATCCGTTAAAAGTGCATTCTTCTGATGTCAAACGGTGATGGTAGTTCGAATCTGCCAAAAGTTACGGACAGCTGCGGTAACCTCAAATATGTTGGTTCCAAAAGTACGAAAATGTGCTCTTTACTTGACTTCCTGGGTGGATCTTGCTTCAAGTTCGGTATTTTTGTCAAAATACTGTTTAATTAACTACCGAAAGTGAACATGACTGAACATTAAAGCGGCAAAAGGTAAGAATAAAATTTCCACAATTCGAAATCAGTAATACTTTGTCTTCAGAGAACAGACAAACCTCAATTACCTCTTTAATCTGTCAGTATGGTAGCAAACAGGCTACCGGTTGTGATTTCTCCTTTCTAATTTACTTATTGCATATGGAATCATAAAATATTTATTCAAGACATTTTCAGGTAGGTCCTGAGCTGTTTACCCCATTTCCCCTGCCTACGAAATGCGCAAACTCCTATTTAATTTTCTTTTTGTGGACAAGGTCGCCCCTTTGGGTGATTTTATCCTACGTAATGGGGCTCAGAATAGCAGATTTTATCTTCTACTGATAGAGGTGATTTTATATTCAATTTGTGATCTAACAATACCGCGTATGCTTGTTTGGGGTTTTTCGAAACGAAAATTGTCTCAGAAAATTCTGCTTGACTTGCCTTTCTAAATATGCTGAAAATGTTGGAACAATAAAGGAATACCAGATTTGTTTTAAATACAGTTACGAAAACTTTAAAAGCATTCAATTAGCTAACAACACAGACAGTAGGTTCATGCGATAAGTTCTAAATCTATCTCGACAAGTATTTCTTCGCCTTTTTCCTGTGATATTAAGAGGCTTGAGTGTACTTCTGAATAGCTTAAAACGGTGTACTCGGGAATCTCTAACTACCACAAGGTTGTATTCACCAATCTACAGGTTCCACTTCCAGATTTGAAATGCAATTCTGGGAGCACTTTTCATACTGGCAGTAGTTACCTAATGACTCTTGTAAAACGTTAACTCCTGGTTTTACTCAGATCATACTCAAACTCGACCACTGAGTGGGTCATTTTCGTGTTCTGTTAAAAAGTGGAAGTTTTATTTGCGTAATTCCCTTCCAAGTTGATTAACACTAAGCTCCCTAATAGAATAGTGAATAAATATGCTATTCGTCGAAAGCTTTGGTCCTCAAAGGAACTTTAGAATGAGTGGTACTGTTAGCAATCAAATTAACGCAAAAATAGAAAAAAATATTTGACGAGTTATTCGAATGCGTTGTCCAAATTGGCCTAAAAGGCTATGTGGCACAGACAACTGAAAGCAGATTTGTAATAAATGTTGATATGAAATCCCAACCTCGCTAACGTGAATAGAGCCTCACGGCACCAAGGCAGAGGTTTGCTAGCGGCAGTATTTAGACTCGTGTGGTCAACCATCAATGTACCATGTATGCATTAACAACATCCCCAAACACCCAACATTAACAAACATGCGACAATCTAAAAATAACTTCTTAACTCTTATAATTTACAAAATTGAGAAAAACGCACAAAAATGGACATTTTCACCGATCAATTGTAGCTATGGCGACATGGTGCCAAAGACCATCTTGGGTCAACTGATCGGCGGCACGTGCGCGCTTTCCGGTGTACTGGTGATAGCCCTTCCCGTCCCATTCATTGTCTCAAACTTCTCTCGCATCTACCATCAAGGTCAGCGAGCCGACAAACGCAGGGCGCAAATGGTGAGCCCTATTTAAGGGGTCTGTAACCTCTCCTTCCCTTTTCTGGCATCTCTTCATCTCTTGCTCAAATAGCTGGGCATGAAGCGTGGTAAATGAGGTAGCAGCTATCAAACTGAATAATTTATTTTTGTGAGTTTTCAGGTCGTCGACAGAGAAGGAAATTTTATTCATAAATCCTTCACTGATGAATCGGAGACAAATAGCGATCGGGATTGAGCGTCCTAATACCAGCAAAACCACACTTTATGCTACATCCCATTAATCATTGGAGTGTTCAAGTTGTCACTGAAATACTTTTAGGAGATGTGAGCCTACCTTTGGCACTGCTATTAATGTGCAAAAGAGTAGGGAGCCATTAAATCGAGAAAAACCAAAAACCGCGCATTCATGTATAGTTTTTAAAATATCTTTCCGCTACAAAACTATGGAAAGTTGGAAAATGGTAAATGTACTGTGACAGAAACCCAGATGGCATAATTGGTCGTGCGTATGCGATGCAGTAGACTGGACATTCATGAAGTAAGATTAAGTGAGCAAACTACTGAAGGCGACCTCGGAACAGGAGGGGTGGCGATGTGAGGGGCCCACGTCACGCGAAAAAGTACCTAGGTTTCAACCAGGGCTACATCTCAGTGATCATGGTAGGATTTCGCATACCACCGCCTTCGTGATATAGGAAATCCATTAAAAAATTAAACTGAGGTTACTCTACGTTTTCATCCAACAACTTTCTTTACTTCCTTTCCTCACTCTAAGCCGTCTACCTTAAGTTCTTGCATCGAAGAGGTGAATATGGTGTGCTTGCAGCTTTTTCGTAGCAAGTGGGTGCGGCTAATAGAATGGTCCGCAGTTTCCTTAACTCCCCAACCTTCAAGCCGACTCCCTTTTGTGTAACAATTCTTTCAAGTAGTGTAGCATTCACTATCCACGAAATGATAAGCAGTGCACTTTTTCTGGAAAGTGTTCAACCATTCGAAATGCGAGTAACGGTTTCGGCTAAATCCCGTGGCAGTGTAATTTCCAAGTTATCTCTAAATATTTTATAAGACACAGGAAACCATAAATATCTGTACTATGCTAGAACGGAAGGACCAGAAGGCAAATCAGGGTTGCCTTTAAACAACTAACCGCTTAGTGTTACGCTCAGTTGAAACGAATGAAAGGAGACCACAACAGCACTGTCGTTTAAGTTGAGTGAAAAGCAGTAAATTGGGGTCCTCTAAACGTTATAACTAATCCCCATTGGAAGTAGGTGTAATGAATTGAAATAAGTGCATCAAGTCTTGGCGTGATGATTGCCAATCCATTTTAAATCATTGAAATACACCCTGGTTTAGGCATTTCTTCATTTCTTTGAGAAATTTTAGCTCATGCGTTCATCCCTACTACGACTAGAAATTTCAATATGTGCGCGGGTATTTTACGATATTCCAATCTGACCGTAACTTTGTAATGAAGGTAAGGACAGTTCGGTGACCTGCTAGTAGAAATGGCACAAGCGAAACGCCGACACCGAAATGGTGACCGAAAGCCACAGTGACGGAAGTGCTCGCGCCATATTTGATTGTAGCGTAAATTTGTCTAATAAGTAACTTTAAACCTTTTGCCTGAAAATTTTCAACGATAGGTGTGCTCGCGAATCTTGCCTTTTTTTCATGGGATTATAAAGTCCCCTAAAGTGCGTTTTTGGCATTACAGCAGCTATGCGATAACTCTGATAGGCCGTGCAAGTGCGGAGCGTGGCGTAGGGGTGTCAAACGCGATGTGTAAATGTCAAGTCGAGCTGTGTCTACGCCAAAGTGCTACACCAGTTGCGCATTCACGCATCCACGTTAATTTAATGCCGAGTGCAGCGTCCGGGAAGTAAAGTTAATTAGCAATGACAATAAAAGCACTGAGTGCGCTTTTTTGGCTCACAAAATCACGCTGTACTTGGTAACATTGTGTCAATTTACTGCAAGAGCAGGTTCCGTAGAACGGAGCAAATACATTTTCGGTGGATAGGCAAGCAAAGAAGAACTTTACTTATGACCCTGAAATGGTGGTATTTTAGATAACCAACTAAGCACGATAATTGGCAACTGGGCTCCTTTTGATAGTAGCTTATCATAGAATGGGTGATGCATTAAAACCATTAAATGCGAGGAACTACTTTCGAAAGTTTGGTCATTTTTCATACTTATTTGCTACTTTTTCTGTTCTACCTCATAATTGCATAATAGCTGGCTTTTATTTTGTTCCAAAAAGAAGCGAGTCGGAACAATTTTCCATTCACTTTTTGTTACGCTTTTGATCGTCAAAAGTTAGGAAGCAAGATGAAAATAGCCAAATAGAATTGGTCCACAGATGATGTCGCCATTTATCTAGAAGGAAATTTCATTATTTTTTTTACATTTTATAAACTATGAAACATCTTTTGGTCAAAGGGATTAGTGATTTATAAATAATTCACGTGATTTTTAATTAACAGTTGAAAGTTGGATTACTGAACTCAGGCAAAGGTTATCAGGAAGCATCGAATAAACTTTCAAATTTTAAATGCTCATCTGTAAAACCTAATTTGACTTCTACACTTAGTCTTAGTTTATTAACTTAAAACCACTTTACTAAGCAACTTTTCTACACGATGTTTGTTTATGTGCTTTTAAGGAAGCGAAACAACGCAGAAGGTGGGTGTTAGAGCGATCTACTGTAACCGTGCGAATTGCCGCTTTACCTTTTCACGTTAATTTTTCCAAAAGAATATTTTGTCATCTAATTTGAAAGCTCTTTTTGATGCTTCATAAAAATATATTTTAGGTGTTTAAACTATCAATGGCGCATGGAGTCCACCGCACGTCATATGGCATGAAATTGATGGTTGAGATCCCACTTACTTCAACAAGTGTATGAAGAATTAGGTATTCGATTAAGACCGTGCAATTTTTTCCTTCGTTGAGATTATGAAAGCCACTTTCTAGAGTTCCGCCTTTATAAAAATTTCTCAAGAGAATAAGGCGGTCTCCCTCCCTTTCGCCTATTCTAAGTAAAATGAAAATATTCTCCCCACTAAGCTTTGTAATACAGAGTATGATATGAAGTCTTGCGCTGTCTCGAAGTAATATGACTTCCATCCCACTGGCCCACCAGGCGTGAGTATTCTTTAGGAAGAGGTTTCCTTATACACCTTTAAGTTGTGCCTTGTAGATGTACATTAGCGGCAATTGGCGTTTGGTTTTTAACAAGTGAATAATGCCATCCGCAGCACACCACATACACAAAAGCAAGCATTTCACGAATAATAATGAAGTGGTGAGCACTCTAGGACTGTGAGGTGAATATTGGATAGTGGGTGGTTCGGTGATAGCTAATGATATGTTCGTCCGCTTAGTGTATCCGTGAAGGGAGTAATGACCAATTTGAGGATCTTTGAGGCTGATTATCATCTGCAAATGCAAGGCATGTGGGTGAGGTCCACTTGTTTATCTTCTTGTCGCGGTTTTCCTTTCCT